CCGTCCCGCACCAGTCGCGAACACCAGAAACATGAAGATAGCGGGGGCGGTGTCTAAACGAGCAGCAGGGTCAAACCATGCGCCCCCGCGACGTTGTCTCATTACATCGTGTGCCATTCTAGCTACGAGGATTCAGACGCGGCCTTGCTCAGAGAACGCGTCGTCTAGAGCACGGCGGGCCTTGACCTGGGATCAGGAAATCCGGGGCCCCGGCGCGACGTGGCCCCTTCAAGATTTAGGCGCGCTGCGCGACTCCTCGGAAATGAGCCATGCAATCCACTGCCAATTATAAGGATCATTCGAGAGCGCGACCTCAATGGCGCATCACTTCGCGCGAGGACAAGGGCCATGCCAGACGACCGCTCTCGAACGCTAATGCGCGCGCGCCCCAAACCTGTTCGCTTCGCCCGAGCACGAAGCCGGCCGTCACGAAGCCCGCCCAATCACCAAACTGCAACATGGGCACCGCGACGGTGAAAAACTCGCGCGCAATGGGCACCCTCCGAGGAAGATGAAGATCATCTCGCGCCAGACGGCGCGCTCAACTTTCACCCCCCCCGTCGACGCCACCCCCATGTGGATCTGCATGAGACGCGTGGGGCCTCCACCCGTGGCGCCAGAAGCTCAAATTCTTGCAACCTCGAGGCGTCGTCAGCGCATTCGATGATGTCGAAAAGGATCCGAGTCAATAGCGGTGCTTCTGGATGTCTACCCTTCGCGTTTCCCATAATCGCCTTGCATGTTTGATTGCTGCGCTCAGTTGCAGAGCAAGTCATATTAGCCCCCACTCGGCCCAGAGCCTCTGGGACGTGGTAGCAAATATGGATATTCGGTTTCAATATTCTCTTCGTGTAATTCTGAAGCAGCTGCTTGCGGTGCTGCTCCACGGGTCCACTTGGCCCCACCGATCGCAGTGCAGCGTGACCCCCAAGTTGAAGTAGATCCCACATAGGGTTTCAAGAGTTTCCACGCGCGTGAATGTTCTTGCAAGTGGCCGCGAGGGTCCAATACCCAGACCAAAGCTAAGCACGGCACAGCCAGCCAACCCCCGGAGGCGAAAATATTTGCGTGAGGCTTTTTTAATAAACACGCACCTCTTTTTTATAATATGTGTATATATAAACGTATTCGGCAGTTGCTGCGGCGATTTGGGGAGCACAGCGCTTGCTTGAAACATAACTGGGTCTTCTAAAGATGTGCCATTTTCAACAAGTAACAGAGCGAATGTGTTCATCAGGAGTTGTGCGCAGCCCCCACTTGCCAGCTAATTGTGCATCCAGTCGTACTAGCTGCAAGTTTTCGGCTTGAAAACGGTTTGGAGGTACATGCTCCACAGGATTGAATCGGGGTCGTAGTTTAGGCCATATAGTTGTTCCATCTTGGAAGCGAGTCTTGGCCCTTAAGGGCGGTGCCAGCGTTGCCACATTATCTGCTGAATACCAAATCCCTTGATCTGTGTATTGGGCAAAATCGGATGGGACGGCCTCCGCGGAGTGTACCACCCAATCCTGCCCTCGCAGATTCTTCAAATTAGCAGTGTAAGCGTGGCTACAATCTGCGCAGCAGTGGGACCCTGCCGCGCCCTTGACTTTTGAGTTATTGCATTGCCTTTTCGTCTTGTACGGAACAGCTCAAGCGTGCTTTGACCAAGTGGAGCCCGCCGTCGCCGTCTGGCAGCCGAGCTTCCCGCTCGAAATTGAAACCGCGTTCGCTGAACATGTGCCGCAGCACAGTCCCCGTCAATCCACTGTGCTCGCCTTTGTCATTTACCATATCAAGGTATTTTATGAACCCAAACGGCAACCAACCCCATTGTGTGTTCCGCGCGTGGTCGGGAAGGTCAACTAAGCACCAGCAGCGGCAGGCCAGCTGCGTCGATGCACCGCCCCCCACAGCGCAATCCGCCCGATTTTCCCAGCGGGCGAAGAGCGCGCGAGGGCAGCGAACTCATTGCATTTTTCGCAAAGGATTACCAGCAAACTGAAGGGGTCGGCAATCGCCCACTCGTAGACCGAGCCGTCAGTGCACAGCAAATCAATTTTGCGTGTAAGTTTCCCGTACCTGCTGCCCAACCCTTGCATGTAGTGATTGAGGTCGCTCTTCGCTCTGACTGTCTCTGACGCGGCGCCCGCGCTCGCTGAAGCGCGGCCAACATCGGCTTGTAAAGTCTTCAGCTGTTGGGTCCCCAACGTGTCCAATGTGCGAGGCTTCTTCTGCAATTGAGTCATGGCCTGATGCTTGGGCAAAAATGGTTACGGTGGTGCATTTAAGGTTCAGTTTGGTTTCACTTAGCTTTCAGTGAACTTTTGGCGGGAAGACGGGTTGTTTTCTCTGAAACACATTTAGCCACTTAGGATCTAGTTAGCTAACCACTGTGATATCGCTTATCTTCTAAGCGGTTCTACCTGATCACAACTCATAGGCGCGCAAGCAGACGGGCCCACAAAGCAGAGGAAGAGGAAGCGCGGAGGCAGGAACGTGGACCCGGTCGAGAACAGGCCGCCCAGCCTGCCGGGGCCCGAAGCGGTCAGGGAGAAAACAGAGCCGGACGATCTGACGCTGACGGGCTTCAAGACGCGCGAGGACTGGGAGATAGCCAAGTTGGAGCTCATCCTGGACAAGCTGGCCAGCTCCACAATCAAGTCCTACAGCCAAGGCTGGAGGTGGTGGTCCCTGTTCTGCCGGGCAAGGGGCATCGGCCCACTCTGGGAGGTCACACCCGCGAGCCGAAGGTGCGAGGAGGAGCTGATGCTGGAGTTCGTCTCGCACCTGTCGAGACGAGGGTACAAGAGAGCGGGCACCATCAAGCAGTACCTGAGTGCAGCACGGGCCCAACACCTTGCCCTCGGTCTGGGCGATCTCACGGCGGGCGCGGGCAGGCTCTGGATGGCGATCGACGGGCTGAGGAGGCGAGGCGGCGGCGCCAAGCGGAAACAGCCAGTCACGCCCAGGATGATGAAGTGGATCCGGAGGAAGCTGCAGCCGGAAAGGTCGCGCGAGGGCGCAGCCCAATGGGTTGCGGTCGCCACGGGTTATTTCTTCCTGCTGAGGGCCAGCGAGTTCGTGTCGGGCGACCCGAACGGCTACACCGGTGGCAAGGGCCTAAGGGGCGTTGACGTCACGCCGACGGCAGCGGGCGAGCCGACGAGGAGTTGGCCCGAGGCGAACGAGGTCGTCATCAAGATGCGGGCCAGCAAGACGGACCAGTACAATCGAGGAGAATGGCGCAACCATTTCAGGGTCGAAGCAGCGCCAGGCACGGCGGACGATGAACGCATTTGCGCGGTGGAGGCGCCGACGATCTTCGAGGTGTGGGCGCGCGAGAGGTTCTCCGGAGCGCGGTCGCGCGACCCGCTCTTCGCCTGCGACGACAGCAACGCGCGGTGATGCAGTCGGCCGTGGCGGAGGAGGTCGACCCGAATGACCTGGGCTCCCGCGGCTTGAGGATTGGCGGGGCATCAGCGCTCTACGCGGCCTTCAAGGACACGGCGCTGGTGCAGCGCTGGGGGCTGTGGAACAGCGACGCCTTCCAGGGCTACCTGTGGGGGGCGAGGGACATGGCGCAGGGCGGGGCCAGCAGCATGGCGGCCGCGGACTTGACCGCGGTGCGAGGAGCGCATGAGGCGGCCGCGCTGGCCTGAGGCTCAGCGCGTAGGGCAGCCGCGGCCGAGAGGTCCGGGGCTGAGGCGCTGGGGGGGCCTCGACGGCTGGCAGCGCGGCAGCCGAAGAACGCGCGGAGGAGGTGCCGAGAGCGCTGGGGGGCGGGGGCCAGGACCCCCCTCCAGTCCGGGCAGGAGTCCTCGAGGTGGGCCCCGCGGCGCGGGGCGCGCACGGCGCAGGGGGCACAGAAGGGGGATCGGCGGCGAGACACGCCGCGAAGCTCGCGCCCCACAGCGGGAGGGCGCCTCAGGCCGCGAGGAAAAGAGTCCGAGGAGCGCGAGGGGGCGCGAGGGGGAAGAGGGGGCGGCGGCCGAGGGGGCGCGGGCCCAACCGGGCCCAGCCGCGCCCGATCCGCTCGGGATTTGGAGGCGGAGAGAGGAGAGGCAACGTAGACGTTCGAGAGAACAGCGGGTTTCCTCGTTCTGCGCAGCTTCCCTCTCCTGCTTGTGCTCCTCCTCCGTCGCACTTGGCTTGAGGCCGCTCTAGGGGCGGCCTCGGCGTCTTTTTTGGAGGCCCCGCCCACCGACGCCATAATAAAGCGGTGGGTGGGGCCTCCCGCCGAGTTTCCTCAGCTTGCGCTTGCCGCGTCGCGGTCGGCGCACGCCCGGCCCCCACCTCGCCGCGAGGGGGCATCCCCCCCCTCCCCCCCGGTGCTGCAGCGCGCCAGGCAGAGGTGTTCGGCGGCGAGACACGCCGCGGAGCTCGCGCCCTCCAGCGGGAGGGCGCCTCAGGCCGCGAGGAGAAAAGTCCGAGGGGCGCGAGGGCGCGCGAGGAGGAAGAGGGGGGGCGGCCTGAGGGGCGCGGGCCCAGCCGGGCCCGGCCGCGCCCGATCCGCCCGGGTTTCGGAGGCGGAGAGAGGAGAGGGAACCGCATGGGACATCCATGAATTTTGCCTCTTGGGGCTCTCATTGGAAAGCTCCTGGAGGCCTCTTGGGGCGCTTTGCAGGTCTTTTGGGCCGTCTGGAGGCCGTCAAGGTGTCTTGGGCAGATCGTTCTCCTGGACTGTCTTTGGGGCCTCTTGGGGCACTCTTGGCCCGTCTTGGTGCTTCTTTGGCCTCCGGGACTCCCAGGGGGGGCGTCGTATCTGACCCCCCGTGTGTTAGCTGTATGTATTCAGTCCTGTGCTCTACCTGCCCGAGGCCCGCGTTTGTCGAGGCTTTGGCTCAAGGGCGGAAGTTTCATACTTTACACTTGTTTGACGTGACCCAAGGAGCCGCGCCTTTCTGCGCGGCTAGCGAGGCCGTGGTGACAGTTACATTATAAGTTTCATTTTGCTGCGGTGAGAGATAGATATCATCGTCGGAACTTCCTGATATTACTGCTGCGCCGATCCCGCCAACATGGCAGCGGAGCCATCGTGGAGACCCACAATCAAGTCGACCGCTGGGTGTGAGACTAACGAGCAGGGGGTGCCGACCTGGAGTGGAGATCCACTAACTTTTGAGAGTTATGAGAATGCTGTTCTGTGGTACCGACCTGGCTTGAAGGAGGATGAGAGGAATCTCACCGTGGCTCGTCTATGGACTGCGCTACGGGGTGCTGCGAAAGAGGCCGTGAAAGATATGAGACCGAACGATTTCGTGGCAGGAGGTGTCGAAGCGTTGCTCAAGCACCTGAGAGAAGGTCCTCTAGGTAAGATGCCGATTCCAGACGCGTACCAGAAGATCCGCAACTACGATCAAGTGGTTCGCCGACCCGGTGAGGTGATTGGCGAGTTTGTGATCAGAGGGGACAACCTGTTCAGAGACATGCGGTCGGCCTTGAAGCGACTAAGATCAGACCGACTGCGACGAGAAGCGGCTCAGGCGAATACGATAATTGGGCGAACAGCTACATCTACGGTCAAGGAGCCGACTGTCGAGGAGTTCGAAGAGGCCGAGGAGGTCGAGGAAGACGCCGAGGCTGCAGATGCGACGGAGAAGAAGTCGGTGATATCGGCCAAGTCAGGAGTTTCCGTGGCCAGGTCCGAGACCGACGCGAGTTTCTTCGCGGCAGAGCTCCGTGGGTACAGGCTCCTCCACAACGCTCGCCTGAGTCGAGAAGAACGCCAATGATCCTGGCAGGCACTCAGAACGACACTCGATATGAATCCATCGTCACGCAGCTTCGTGCCTCTCGGGATGATCGAGACCTGCGAGACCGCGACAAACCAGCTCAGCAGCAGGGCCGTGGTTTCAGAGGCAGAGTCTTCGCACTCGAGAGCGGGGAGGAGATGGACGACATGTGTGCGGCGATCCGCGGTGAAGAATCATCGTGGACAGTCGACTGGAGTCATGATGAGAACGAGAATGTCTGGTGGTGTGCCTTCTATGCGGACGAGGGAGACCAAACGACATGGACATCCAGCTCTTGGGACAGGTCCAACAACGACGCTGGATGGAACATTGCGCCAGACCCGGCGGGGACAGGCAACAGCAGTGACATGGGCACCGGATATGACTACGTATGCGACGGATGACGACTCGTACTTGGACGAGCAGGTGAATGCCGCCGAGGTTCTTGCCACCGAGGCGAATCGGATTTTTTCCGAGGCCAGGAATGCGGTGGCAGAGGCGAGGAAGAACAGAGGGTTCTTTCCGCAGAAGGGCTCTGGCAAGGACGGCAAGAAGGGCGGCTACCAAGTAAAGGGATCATCGGCAGGACCGACAGGACGAGGTTGCCTGATCTGTGGTCGATCAGACCACTACTGGAGGCAGTGTCCCGACCGATACTCCAGCAAGGGTAAGAGCTTCGCCAAGGGCGGATCCAAGGGCAAGAGCAAGAAGGGTAAGGTGCACTACATCGGAGGCATCTTCTGCATGGACATGATCCTGTCTCTTTCGTGCCCGTCGTCAACGGAGTTTGTCCTTGACTGCGGAGCTGCGACAACAGCTGGAGGAGGTGACGCCGTCGAGAAGTTGGTTTCAGCGGTCACCGAGAAGTTCCCAGATGCGAAGATCGAGGTGGATGCATCCGACAGGCCCTGGTTCAAGTTTGCGAATGGCCAGTGGGGCCAGGCGCTGTCTAGGGTATGGCTCTTCGCGCCCATCGGCCGGCTGGGCATCTACCTGCTCGACGCTGATGAGGTGCCAGTGCTCGCAGGGGTGGACTGGCTGGACCAGCACGACGTCTCCTTTCGGAGGAACGAGCTGGAGATCTACCTCAGCGACGACAAGACCACGAAGGTTCAGCTCCGGAAGGGCAAGGGCGGCCACCGTTTGTTGGACGTCTTGAGTTCGGCCGGCAGCTAGGGACAGCGCACCGGAGTTCCGTTCTCCCCTGGACTCACAGGTGACCAGAGAAAAGAGGGAGCACAGTATCAGGATATCGGCCTGGGTGGTCTGATGATAGGGGTACGACTACAGTTGCAGAATGTTAAGCATCAACGGCGGGAAACAGATTACACTACACCATACCATGAATTAATATGGTAAACCATGTGACGGGACACAGTCCAGAACCATATGAACAGGAACTCAGCAGATATGTTCGAGAAGATTGGTTTTCTCGAATCTTTAGAACCTTCGATCGCCCTGATGATGCCCGACGTTTTGGGATGTGCTGGCGTAGGACGACGTGTTTACACAGTTCGGTGGTTATTGACGACGGTCCAGTGACGATTGCAACCCCTTGGAGGTGGCTTTGCCGCCCACTGCCAGATGGGGTCAGTGCGATTCGTACCGAAATCTGGTTTCGTCCAACGCCGACCGCATCATTGGCGTTTCGGCTCCAGGGTATTCGAGATAAGCTCAGTGCTTTTCAATCTTCCATGTTTTGTCCTGATGGGCGACAAGAGGCTCTACCCCGATCTACCATGTGCGGCGGCAGAGCAGACGGACTGGTCTCTCAGCAAGGGGGCCGATCCGAGGGGTCCTCGCATGACCAGCTGGCCGTGCCAGGGGACCCGCACCGTGTCGAGCAACACCAACAACCGCTTCGGAGTGTGGCTGACGTGCGAGACGTGTGCTTTCAGGCTGGACTACGCTCCGAAGAAAGGGTGCAGCGGCAAGTACCGCAAGGAGCCGAAGATGGCCCTGGTCACGGTGGCCCTTCGGCGACTACAGGAGTCGGGCGACGCGCCGACGGCCGCGAGGGTCGAGGGGCACATGAAGGCCATCGAGGCGGAGCGCATCATCGAGACGGGGCACTACATCAGGAGCGACCCGAACAAGGAGGGCTACTGGACAGCCCGCACGACAAAAACCGAGGGCGTCAAGCTCGAGATCAAGACCGATCCAGGGAGACTGCCGACGGCAACCAGACCAACTACCGGAGTGCCGACTGCGGTGCGTACCGTGCGCGCGGTCGGAGCGGACCCAAGCTCTGCGGCATCGGATTCAACACCCCGCAGCAGCACGTGGGATGTGGTCTCGGGTGCCGCGGCGGACCCGGACGAGACGCCCACGCTCGCGACCAAGCAGAAGAACCTCCTCATCAAGTGGGCCGTCCTGACACGGGGAGTCAGGCGCCTGGGGCTGAAGCCGGAGGTGAAGCAGGAGGATTTCGCGGCGATGCCGGTGCCGGGAGACATGGGGGATGTCCTCATGAAGTGAAGCAAGTTTCGCTCAAGCAGCGCCGCGCGATCCAGAGCGGCATGACGGCGCTGAGCATGCTCGTGAATGGACTGATGCTGGGCCTTGTGCAGACAGGCTCGGCAATGCGAGTAGACTTTGCTGAAGTCGCGTGTTCTCCAACTTCGAGGCTGACAGCCGGTCTGTTGAATGAAGGTTTCCACTGTCAGCGCATCAACCTGGAGCAGGGCTACGACCTCAACAAGAAGGACGACACCAGTCGTGCCAAGGGATGGTTATAGACGGCGTGTCCTCGCAAGGCGTGGTTTTCGACACCATGTACCTATTTCTCGTTGATGCAGAACCTTACCCCCGAACACAAACGACGACCTGGCAATTGGGAGAACCTTCTACGATCGCGACTTCGGGCTCGCGCCATGAATGGACACTGTGTGGATATGGCCCTGGAGACTCTACGACACAATGGTGATATATACTGGGAGTGGCCGCACAAGTCCAGTGGTTGGTCTACACCAGAGCTCAACCGGCTCAGGCGCGAGGCGGAGAAGATCCTCGGGCGATCTCTCCGCATGGTCAGAGTCGACGCGTGTCAAGTCGGCATGCGCGATGACCATGGCGTGCTCAGGAGCAAGTCTTGGGGCATTCTCACCAGTGACGAGAATTTCACGCAGTGGATGGCGCTACGCTGTGCTAAGGATCATCCTCACAGCACGTTCGAGGGTCACGACGCTGTGGCGGCGTCGGCCTACTTTCCAGAACCGATGATTCGGATATTGGTCACGGGCTTCGTGAAGGACCTGCGTGGTCAGGATTTCGCGGAGGACTTCTGGACCATGAGTGCGCTGCAGGACGACGAGCAGCACCTGCATGGCATCGAGTCGGGCATGAATAAGCATGTCAAGAAGATGCCGGAGGACAACGTCACGCTCGACAAGGTCAAATCCTGGTTGAAGGACCTCCCTGTTCTCGGTGGACATATGTCCAAGACCAACATGAAGGCGATGCTCCAGAGACGCGGGTGTCCTAGTTGGCAGCAGGCGCTCGTGGACGAGCTGATCTGCGATGCCTGCGCCGAGACACAGGACACGCAGCACCAAGCCGTGGTGTCACTCTCTATGCCACCCAAGCTGTGGCAGATGGTGAAGCTCGACTGCTTCGAGCTGGAGGTGCACCACAGGAAGCTGTTCGCGGTGCTCTATATGGACGCGGCCTGCAAGTTGGCAGTTCGCAGTGTTTTCAAGGAAGTGGATACTAAGGGGAAGAAGGCTTATTTCGAGCCGTCAGGCGCCCAAGTGTTGTCGGCGTTCCTGGAGGACTGGTGGCAACGCAAGCCGCGGTGCCAGTTCTTGATTTCGGACCCGGGTGGCGCCTTTGTGAGCAACCAGTTGCGCGAGTGGTGTGGCAAGATCGCCGTGGGCATCATCCAGAGCGCAGGCGAGTTCCACGGTCTTACGGCTGACTTGGAGATTCTTATAAGTCAGATCAAGAAGACCGCACGCCGCATCTCCTTAGACGAGCCGACGCTATCGTTATCTGACTGCGTGTCCTTAGCCTGCGCCGCTCGCAACAACCAGCACAAGGCGTCGGGCTACACACCAGTCCAGTGGGCGCACGGTTCTAACCACCAGGGCTACCAGTTTGCATAAGAGGCTGGTCGCCTGGATGGGGACGGTTTGGCACGCACCGAACTTCATCGACTCTTGGCCGAGCGGGTCTACCTGGAGGAGCAGGCTCGTTCAGTGGCGACTCGGCTTCGGCACTCCATGAGGCAGAAGCTTCTCTCGATCAAGATCGGCGACTGGATCATGTACTTCCGTCGCGGCAAGAATGCCGGATCTCGAGGTTCGCGGTTTGGACCTGCGAGAGTTTTGGCCATCGAACCGAAGGTCAATTTCAAGCGTGACCGTGCCGACGAGTCCGCTTCGATCGAGGGCGAGATTTCGGTGGTGTGGATCGTGCATGGCACGAGACTTATTCGGCGTCATCCGACACAGCTGAGGTCGAGCAGTCAGCGCGAGGTGGTCGTGGCTTCGTTCAAGGGTAACATGGACAAAGATTCACCGACCAACGCATCCAATGTTTTCCAAGGTGCTGGGCGCGGTGAGTTTACCGACTTGGCAGGCGACCTACCCTCGGAGCGCGAGATTGCGGAGAGCCTTGCAGATCTACCAGAGCAACCAGGACAGGTGAAGATTTTCGCCAAGGAGATCGTCACGAATTTCATGATAGTGCTCCGGCTGGAGACGACGACGGTTGCACAACTACATCCAGAGAAAAAAAGCCCCAGAGGAGTGGGTGGGTGGGGAAGAGGGCAGTGGGAGTGGGGGGGATGAAGGAGGGGGGAGGGGGTGGAGGGTAGCAGAGAGGGGGGCTAGTGGGTCCTGGCACTTGATGGCCAGGGCGTGGGGGGGGGGGAGGCGGGTGCGTATTAAGCAGTCATTTTGGGCAGTGGTAGGTCCATGTGTGGGGGGTGGAGGTGAGGGGGGGGGGTGAAGAGAGGGGGTCCAGAGGGTGGGGTGGGAGGAAGGATCCAGGAGGCAGGGGGCAGCGGGGTAGGAGGGGGGGGTCCGGTGTGATATCCAGGGGAGGGGGGGGGTCCAGGGGGTGGGGGGGGGGGTGGGGTGGGACCTGAGAGTGTGAGTGTTGTGATACCTTCCTATTTGTCCCGAGTCGCCGTGCCAAGAAGATGCGGATAGATGAGGATGGAACAGGTCGAGATTTTCACCAAGGGGACCAAATCAATAATGATCAGGACTGGGAGCCGATCAGACGGGTCCGGTTGAAGCACAAGGCCTCTCCCTACGACGCGTTATATGGACCAGGAGAGACCTCGGCGATACCATAGGAAATCACCAGTGGCCCTGCAGGTGCTCCGATTGGCGACGAAGCCGTGGCAGCTCCCCGAGAGGGTAGCCCGGCAGAGCCATTTGGGGTGGGACCCGACTCTGCGGACGGGCCGGTCGCAGAGGGTTTCGCGGGAAGCCAGGATCCTGCAGGGGAGGCCCCCACTAGTGAAGCAGATAAACGTGACTTAACGGAGCCAGAGGCCAAGCGCATCAAGCTCGGCGAGATGGATTTCATGACGTGCGACGTCGTGGGCGAGGTCAGGTACCTGGAGGCATGGGACAACCTACACCATCAGTCCGTGGTCTACCTGAAGGACACGACCATTGAGCGTGAAGTTATCGAGGTCGCGACCGATTTCGCTCACATTGGAGTTTTCCTTCAAGACTCTACGGTCTGGCTTTCCAAGAGGCTAGGCGGCGGCAGAGCGACAGAAGTCACCTATTCCAAGTTGGCGCCTGGGCAGCAGCTTGAACTTGACGAGGCTATGTGCAAGGAGATCAGCCAAGTTATTGCGACCAAGGTCCTGAAGCGGATCGCCCAGGAGGAGCTCACTGAGATCGACGAGTCGCGACTGCTCAAGATGCGCTGGGCTCTCACTTACAAGTACCAGGAGGGTGGCGCACGCAAGCCGAAGGCTCGCTTCGTCATTTTGGGCTACCAGCACCCGAGCCTGACGGATCTCGCTACGGTGGCGCCTACGCTGGGGAAGCTGGCTCGCAATCTGCTGTTCCAGATGTGCGCGCAGCACAAGTTCAAGCTTAAGTTCGGCGATGTCAGTTCAGCCTTCCTCCAGACCGATGCGAGCGAGGAGTTCGAGAGTCTCAATGTGAAGGTTCCTACGGAAGTGGCTCATGCCTTTCCGCATGAGCTTGGGCGCCCCTCGCAGATTTTGAAGATGGTCAAGTCTTTCTATGGCTTGACAACGGCTCCGAGAGCATGGTGGCTTGATATCTCACGCAAACTTCGGGGCCGAGGTTGGCGACAACTACGTGCAGATCAATGCGTGTGGATTCTGTTGGACTCCAATAGCCAGTTGACGGGTATCATTGGCGTCCACGTGGATGACTTCATCATTGGTGGCGACGAGACGTCGAAGTTGTACGAGGACGCGGAGAAGGCCATCAGGCACCTCTACCGATGGGGAGCATGGACTTCCGGTCAGGCTGAATTCAGTGGACTACGCGTCCGCCAGTTCAAGGATTTTTTTCGATCACGTTGGACCTCTACGACTACACGAACACATTCATCACGGAGGCCGAGATCGACGCTGATCGCAAGAAGCAGGCTCATCTACCACTCGAGCCGAAAGAGATTTCACTACTTCGTGGAGTACTGGGTACAGCCAGTTGGAGAGCACAACAAGTGTCTCCACAATATGCCGTGGATGTTGGGCTGGCATTATCTCACGTCAACAACGCCAAGATCAGTGACCTGGTGAACGCCAACAAGCTTGTCAAGGATATGCGAAAATCCGCTTCGCAGGTGATCAAGTTCCACCAGCTCGAGAACTACGACTGGCATGAGTTATGGATGGTGCAGTGGGCCGATGCTAGTGACAAGCTCAGGCCCGACGGCAGCAAGACTGGCGGGCTGGTGACAGGTCTCTCGACCCCTGACTTTGCGAACGGCAGCATGGCAAATGTTTCCATATTGGGTTGGGGATCTTTCAAGCTACCTAGTAAAATCTCGGGCTCCAACAACAACGAGACGCAGTCGACCGCGTTCTGTGACGAGGTGCTATGGTTATCCAGATTGTTGTCGGCAGAGTTACATGGAGTTGAGCCGACTCGTTGGAAGTTGGACGACGCAGTCAAGACAGTACCAGGGATGTTCATTACAGATTCACGTGGCATCTATGATGCGATTTTGAAGTCAGAGTCTCCTCAGCTGGGCATGCGCCGTTTCAGATCAGGTGAGGAGGCCAGAGGCATTAAGGAGCATATTTTTGCGCACGGACGTTTCTATTCGATGGGTGAATGGTCTAGCGATGCTGGCAGACAGTTTGTCGAAGCCGGGATATCCGGCTCGACATGTGATGGAAAAATTTTTGACTACACAGCGCTGGAAGTGCACTTTTGATGAGATGTTCCAAAGTGGACGTTGGAGACAGCGCGACGGCAATGGTGCTTTCGCAGATGCACCAGTGGAGGCCGCCATTGGAGACGAGGGAGGCTTTTTGGATCCCTTGGAGTCTTTATGTGATGATTCTTTTCTTTCTGATTCGACTCGCAGTCTCATGCGGTCTCGATACATGTAGTTTCAGGACTGAGAAGAGTATAGCCGGTGTTAGCTATATGTTTTCAGTCCTGTGCTCTACCTGCCCGAGGCCCGTGTTTGTCGTGGCTTTGGCTCAAGGGCGGGAGTTTCATACTTAACACTTGTTTGACGTGGCCCAAGGAGCCACACCTTTCTGCACGGCTAGCGAGGCCGTGGT